CATACGCTCACGGCAAACTGCATTGCTCCGGGCGCCAGCCGTCTGCTCCGGGCTCGGCGGCTCACGTGCGCGACATGCCGCCGCAGCAGCACATTCCAGAGCTCCAGCAGCAGCAGCAAGCTCCCGCGCGTCCACCGGACCCGCAGCCCCCACCGGGTCGGCCTGGACCGCTGCACGCGGCAGGGCTGGCTCGCCAGGATATGCCGGCTGCGCCATGTAGGTCCCGTCGTTGTCCTTGTGCACCTTGAAATGGGCCCACTTGCCTAGGAAGGCTGCAACATCCGTCTCGCCCTCATCCTTCATGAAGGAGTCAAGGCGAATCCGCCACATGGCCGCGAACTCATCGGGAAGGCGAGCCACGGGAGCAGACCTTCGGCCGCGCAAGACTTTGGCCAACGCCACCGCCAGCAACGGGGCCGCAGCCAGCGCCGAGGGCGGGGCAGACACCGCCTCCGCCAGCGCTGGTAGCGAGGCAGCACGTTCCAGACCCTCCGGAGACGCAGCGCCATCGGGATGCGCAGGCAATCCGGCACGAGGCAGAACGCGCTCATCCTCTCGAGCGTCATGTGCGGGTGGCGGCAGCAGACACAGCGGCGGCACTCCGGGAGCATCATGTGCACGTGGTGGAGGCAGTACTGGTAGTTTCGGCAGCGGGAGCAAAGCGCTCGCCGAGGAACGCGGCGGGGCGCAGGGTGCACTCCTGGGTACAGCAGGGCAGGGGGCGCCAGGGGCCACGCCAGCGGCCGCAGCAACCAGGTCCACAATCGGCGGCATGTCATCGATCTGGACGTCCGTTTGAACTTCAAGCCGAGCACGAGAACGAGCTTGGGCATCGGCAGCAGCGACTGCACGAGCGAGGCTAGCCACGTCGCGCACGCAAGGTCGGCGGCCGACTCGGGCCGCGAAGCCGAGCCTGCGCACGGCGGCGCGCAAGTGCGGCCTTGGCCAGTCGCCATGGCGCTGGCCGGAAGCATCTCGCGGCGCGCGGCTGTCCCGGGAGAAGGGGGCGGTCGGGACGGCGCGCATGGGCCCCTAGCCCTCCAGTGGGAAATGTCTCTACCTGGGCCGGAACCTGGCGGAGGAGGAAGGAGGGAGGAGGGAGAAGAGGAGGGGGAAGGAGGAAGGAAGAGGGAGGAGGAGGACGAGGGAGGGGGGAGAGAGGAGGAGGAGAAGGAGGAATGAATCAATGAATGTACTTCGTGGTCCATGTGTCTACTACAGCAGAATCACTGTGCACTGCACTGCTCGCTAGTGTACAGGTCGGACGACGACGTGGTCTAAATCAGCTGGAGTTCGGCCTATTCGACAAAACATCTACAAGGCCAACGAACCCACCGACACAACACTCCGAACCTCCCACACGGAAGGCGGAGCCCAGGAGGCCAGAGCAGGGGGGCAGGGGCACCGCCCCGTGTCCCAACCTGCTCGGGCACAAAGGTGAGGACGCCTCCACCGCGACACCCAATTGGGGGGGGGGGCTACAAAGAGCCCCCCCCCCCAAAAAAAAATGGACGCCACGGCAAAACAATGCCATCACCCTCTGCGACAAATTATCACACGTTCACGCCGTGCCCTCTGTACACGAGCGTATCGACCGACATGCACAACTTCGCGCTGAGGAGGAAGAGGGGGAGGAGAAGGAGGAGGAGGAGGAGGACGAGGCGGAAGAGGAGAAAAGGAATGCGCGGCAGCAGAAGGGGTGGCCTCAGATCCCGCTCTCTGAGGACGCTCAGCTGCCCCCACTAGTCGACGTAGCGACCCCGTCGATGACGATGGTAATATTCGTGAAGACTCCCTGCCATCACTATAAGACGAGCTCAACTATAACACTCGAGTCTGCGACTCTCTCCCCACGTCCAAAAAGGAGCTCGATGATAACGCTTGCGACTCCCTCCCGGCATCACACCATGAGCTCAACGATAACACTCGTGACTGCAACTCTCCCCCGTCGTCCAAAACTGAGCTCGATGATAACCCTCGAGACCGCGACTCTCTCCCTGCCACAGATGAACTCAAACTCTCTTCGTGGCTGCGACTCTCGCCCAACTCCTCGAGCACCTGCTGCACCCGACGCGCGATGTCGGAGGAGGGCGCCATTCCGAACTTCATCACTCCGCCTTGGTTGGTGAGGGTCGTCTTCGCGTGCTTCCACGCTGGCCATGCCACCGAAGACGGTCCACTGTGATCTCGAGTTTCGCATTGTCTCGCGCATGCGTCTTCTTGACCCTGCAGTACGGGATGTCTTTCTGTAGCGCCTGGTGCAGCATCTTCATGCCGCTGGCTTCTTTGATCTGCATGTAGTGCGCGATGTATCGCTCGAAGTCAGTCTTCGCCTGGCCGTTGATTGTTGCTACCTGCTGCCCGGCCTTGTTCAAGATCGACAGGAAGATTGCCGTATGGGGGCGACCTGGCTGCTGTTCGCGATCCTCCTTCGCGATTCCCGTTGCCTGCTGAGTATCCACGACCCGCCTCGAGAGGAGGACGAGGAGGCTCCAAGAGGGGGCCCGGACAAGAGGCCCGAACCGACATTTCGAGCCCTCGACCCCGAAGGGCCCGAGGCCCCACCAAGCCCCCAAGTGGACCCAATGAAGGTCCCCAAGAGGCCCCCTGGAAAAGGCCCCCATGAGATTCCAAAATTGTCCCCAAGACGCCCCCGAGAGCGCTCCGAACAGACCCCAAGAGACACCCAAGCACGGCGGCGTGATGGGTCGAAGGCCGTTCGATCGATTGCACCACATAGATTGCGCCTCACGGCTTACACTGCATAGCTCGCACGTCATAGCTCCCACCACACAACTCCCACTGCATAGCTCGCACATCATAGCTCCCACCACACAGTTCCCACTGCATAGCTCGGACATCATAGCTCCCACCCCACAGTTTCCACTGCAGAGCTTGCGCCGCTTAGACTGCATTACATGGCTCACACCACATAGGTCGCGCCACAAGGACTGAACCACATACAGTGCACGGCATAGCTCACACCACATAGATCGGATCACACAGGTTGCACCACATTTGGCACGTCGTCGATGTCTGTCTTGTCGCGCTTTTGGCGCCTCCTGTCTGCCAGCTAACGCGTTTGGTGTTGCTCGCACGCTCGCCAATTGTCTTGCCCACGCGCGTGTTGCGTATGGCTGCTTCGATTCGACCTAGGTACATGCACCCCACATAGAGTACCACTTAGCTTCAACCACATAGCTCACACCGTGTATATATATAAAAGATATACAGTTGTGTAAGTGTGTTGCGCTGCATAGTTTGGAACACCTTAGAGTGCACAGCATAGCTTGCACCTCATAGATCGCACAGGTGGATTGCACCACATACATTTCACGACATTGCTCACACCACATAGATCGGACCGCACGGGTTGCACCACATAGCTTACACGACATAGCACCCACCACGTAGATTTCCGCTGCATAGGTTGGACCCCATCGGAGTGCACACAACAGCTTGCACCTCATAGATCGCACCACATGGCTTGCGCCACATACATTGCACGAAATAGCTGACACCCAATCGATCGCACCACCGATGCTGCACCGCGTAGATTGCAGCACATGGCTTAAACCACATAGCTCGCACCACATAGATTACACCACATAGCTTGCACCACATAGCTTGCACCAGGTAGATTGCACCACCTAGCATGCTAAGAACCACAGTTTGCGGTCCAGACTGGATAGCACATACAAGACTATGCTACAGCGTGTTACAAAACTCACATGGGGGGGAGCGCGGATCCCAGTTATATAGCCATTCCTTGCAACCTATACACTGCAAACAATGTGGTGCAAGCTAGATGTCAAAATCCATGTGGCGCCCGTATGGCGCAGGTCAGTGCAAGTCAAAACAATGCAACCCAATGCGAAGCAAGGAAAAGCAATGCAAAGCATTGCACGTCATGCAACGCAATGCAAAGCAATGCAAACCAATGCAAGCATATGTGAAGATCATGCGAGGCAATGCGAAACGATGCAGAGCAACACAACGCCATGCAAAACAAGGCAACGCAATGCAAAGCAGTGTAAATCAACGCGAAGCAGTGCGCACCAACGCAGTGGAAAACAGTGAGAAACGCGTCGCAATGAACACGAGAGCAAAACAATGCAACGCAATGCAAGCCAAGGTAGATCAGCGCCAGGCAACGCAAGTAAAGCAATGCAAACACATGCAATGCAACGCCAAGTAAAACACAACAGTGCAACGCAATGCAAAGCAACATAATGCAACACAGTGCAATGAAAGCCAATGACAAAAACGCGAAGCCGTGTAAAACAAGACCAAGCAACGGAAAGCCACGCGCAACAAAGCAGAGCGGTGCAAAGCAATGCAAATAAAGCAGTGCAAGCACATACAAAACAATGCACATCAACTCCACGACGTGCAAAGTAACCCAGGCCCCGACGCCAACAGGGCGGCGACGGCGACCACGTAGCCGCCAGACCGACTGGCATGCCCAGAGCGACAGGGCGGCAGCGGCGACCACATAGCCGCCAGACCGACGGGCAGGCGCAGCAGACGGGCGGCGAGGAGGCGGTAGTGGGGCGGCGACGGCGAACACATGGCCGCCATACCGACGGGCAGGCTCAGCTCCGTAGGAGAAAAAAAAACAATGTGCCAGCACTGCTATGGGAAGGAGGGGGCGTAATCATGTGAACAGCCTGGCACAGGGAGACGAACGTGGCCGGCGAGAAAGCTCAAATCATGAATGGCCGAGCTTCGTACAGATGGCTAGTAGACCGATTCCTGCACCCAGTCTCGCCCAAGTGATATCGCGAGAGAAGGCAAACGCATCGCCCAAGGCACCTCGGCATTGTAGCTGGGGGGCATGCCAGCGGGAGTTTTGTTCGGTCGGCCCAGGAAGCTTGGCAAGCAGCAAGCATCTGGCGTTGCATCGACGGGCAATGACCCCACCACTGCCAATGATCCCTACGCGCTGAGCAGGCGAAGCCAAAGCCTAGCGGCGCAACGAGCAACAGCCAGAGCATAAGTTACTCCACCAGTGCTGCCGAAGAGAACCTGAAACTCTGATAGAAGGCAGCGACCTTCGGAGACACTCGTACCTTTGACACGTCGAAGCTGCGGAGCAGCAGGCCAGCCAGCGATTGGACCCTGGACAAGGCCACGTACACCTGACCAGCTGCGAAGGCATCACTCAAAGAGCACTCCACCTTGTCTAAGGTCATACCCTGGCAGCGGTGAATCGTGAGCGCCCACGCGAGCCTCAGGGGAATCTGCTCCCGGGAGGCCTCGCCTGAGGACTCTTCACGAAACCAGGTCGCTGGTGCGATCTCAATGAGCATACCGCTGTCGAAGAGCACCAGCGGCAGACCTCCCTCGGTGAACGACGTTACCACACCACGGCTGCCATTCACAAGCGTGTCCCTGAGGTTCTTGAGCAAAACAACTTGTGCGCCAACTTTCAGCTCCAGCACCGTGGGTGCGGAGCAGCTCTTGAGGAAATCATCAAGACTGCTCCTGGGCCCTCGGTCTAGCGCCCTGAACGCGTGCACGTCTCCCGGGAGCTTTGCCAACTCGAGCGCGTTCTCCACGTCGACGTTTCGATTCGTGCAGTGGAGCTTTGTGGGCAGCACGCCGTTCTCGACGTGGAGCTCGCGGCGGCACCGTGCCAGAGCCCCACGCGCGATGCTCGATACGTGCCCCCGCCGGATCTCGCCGAGGATGCCTGCGAAGAGACTGCTGCCCTCCTGCCGCATGACACGCTGCAGGTAGACGTGATGCTGGACAGCCCTGTCCCAGATCTCCGCCTCGAATGCGTACTCGCGTTCGCCCTCGACCTTCACGGGGCCAAGCTGGCAGAAGTCACCGACCAGGACGATCTGCAGCCCGCCGAAGGGAACATTGGGCCTGCGGCGCGCAGCCCTGGCCACCGCGTCCAGGGTGTCAATCATGTCGCCCGAGAGCATTGACACCTCGTCAATGATCAAACATTCCGCCTCGCTCCACCGACGTCGCGCCGTCTTCACGGCTCGCGCAACTAGCACCCTTCGCGGCCCCTCGCCCAGACCGATGCCTGCGAAGGAGTGGACCGTGCAGCCGCCGATGTTGACAGCAGCCATGCCCGTAGAAGCGGTCATGTGCACGGTTCCCGGCTTGCACAGCTTCCCAAGACATTGCTTGATGTGCCTCAATATGAAAGACTTCCCGGTGCCAGCCTCACCGCTGATGAAGCAGCTCTTGCGCTGCTGCACGACCAAATCGATGACCGCCTACTGCTCTTCTGTGGGAGCCAATGGTTCCGCCGCCTCGCTGGCCGAGTGAGAAGACCTCGCCTTCTGGAGATTGGCTTGCTCTTCGCGAGAGAAGACGGCACCTAGATCCTTGCCATTAACACTCACATGCACACCGTGTGGCACACGTGCATACCGGGATTGCGACAAAGACTTGGAGGGCGTCCCGAGCATCTCCCGACTGCACGCTTCGGCCTGACGCTGAGCCCCAGGCGGGTGAAACTCCGAGGTGCTGCTGCCAGGCTTCGATCTCCGCTGCAGCTGAAACGGCGTCGGAGCATTGCTGGTGCTCTCGATGGCGATGGCCTCCGCCTCGGCAGCGAGGAGCCGTGCCGTGACGGCCGCGGCCCCGCCCGCGCTCCTGCGACCGTGCTCGCAGCTCACGACGCCGACGCCCGTACCCCGTGGTCTGGAGATGCAGACCTGAAGCTGGCCCTGGCTGGAGCACGGAGGCATTGAGTATCGTTTACCGATCCCCATCCCCCAGCGGCGAGGCCTGGGCCCCACTGGCCGATTTGCCCCCCTGGACGGGGATACAGGCCGTTCCCTTCGGGTTTCGAGGGGTGTATCCCCAACTGGGGGGGTAATTTGGTGGGGGTCTCGAAGGGGATGGGAATGGGGATGGGGATCGTTTAAACGATACTGATGGCTGGAGCACGAAGGGACGGCGCAAACTAGGCCAACGACATCTGTACACATCTGCGGCCCCAGGCCCTGCAACTTCCTGGACCCCGGGAGCGATGTGTGCACCTCCCTCTCCCTGGCCAAACCAGGAGGGCGTGCACAGCGCTCGTGGGCCCAGGATCGACCAGGCCTGGGGCAATGGATATATATAATATATATATATATATAATATATATATATATATACATATATATATATATATATATATATTATATATGTATGTATATACACACATATATGTACCTCGGCGGCGCCTCCGGCGCCGCCCCTGGCGCGCTCCGCGCGCCAGGGAGGGGGGTCCAGCGCCGATCCGAGAAATCCGCGCGGACCTCCGAGTTTTTATGTTTATGTCACTTTCTGTTCCCCTAGAAATGGGTACGGAAAAATGGGCACAATGCCCAACAGCAAATGTTGTCCCGAACCAAAGGCGGCCGCTGTTTGGCAGGCGGCCTTCTGTCTCAAATGGACACAATCCGCGGCGACGCCGACAGCGAACCCTGTCCAAAATGAACAAGAACGGCTGCTAATCTTGGTACCCATTCTGTCCGTACCCGAATCTGTGTTCGTGCCGCATTTCCTTCGACTCGTGCCTGCCGCTGGCGAGGCTGACGAGGCCTGCACCTCGCCGTGCGGCCGCACGCCGAGCGAAAAGACAGGTGCCGGCCATGGCGCGCACGACCTTTGGCATCGAACGAAGCACTTCTGGGCCGACATGGCCACGGGCGTAGCGGGAATACACGACAACGGGCCACGTGCTGATTCGGCTACGCACGAGAGTGACCCTGGGTAAGAGTGACCTTTCGTGCGCGGCTTTTTGGGGGCCGCGCGGGGACCAAAAGCAAGCGCGCAAGACGCCTCCGCCGTCTCGCGTTCGGTGGTCGGGGCACCCCAGTGGGCCCGCACCAAAGGTCACTCCGGCGAAAGGTCACTCTTACGTCTAGTCGACTGATGGGTCGACGTCCACGCATGCGCCGGTGCTGCTCGCCACGCGCGCGACCCCTTGTCGCAGCTGCCGTTAGCAGCACACCGTACCGTGCAGGACTGGGAGTGTGCAGTCTTGACCGACATCGATTTTCCATGGGTTGTTGTACGTAGGCCCCGAACCATGACCCTCATGTTGGCTCCAATCGGGCGCAGCGGGAATAAACGACAACGGTTCAACCCAATGCTAGTGGGCACTCGCGCGCCTGACAAACGCTCCCACATGGAATATGGTCCCCCTGCAGGCCAGTTCGGATATTCGGCAGACTTCCGATGCAGACGCGTCCCGATGGTAAGATCAAGTCAGTTGCCGGACCCACGACATCCCCTGCCAGGCGATGTCTTCAGTGCTAGTAGCGGTGTCCCCGATTGGAGAAATGATCGCCCCTTGCCCCCTGAGTCCCAAAATCGGAGGCCTCCCAGATGGGGCCGAAGTTTGGATAGAGTCGCAGAATCGCGCCGCATCGCCGATGCATCACAGATGCGTCATCGATGCATCGGCGACGTCGGCGTTGGATCCACATCCACTCTGGCCCCATCTGAGAGGCCTACATAGAGAAATGCCTCCAACCTCCAAGACCAAGCCTGGCTCGATGCTCGGCGATGTCCGCGCTCCGCCCATCCGTGCACGAGGTAGACCTGTCCCTCGAGGCAGCCTGGGGAGGCCCCACAAGGGCCAAGAGACCGCAGGCAGGGTTCGGGACGGCCAGCCTTCCTGGAACCTCTGGGAACACGCGGGTCAGGGCCCCCCAAGTTTAGGTCGGGCCTGTCCCCCTACAGGGGAATTTTGGATGAAAAATAAAAAATAAGCAACAAATGCTCAAAAGATATACAAAAGCACGCAAAACATCGTGCCCATACTATTTTTGACTATTTCTTGATATTCCCCCTGTAAAGAGACAGGCCCGACTTAACCCTCAATTGTGGACGTGCGAACATGGATCGGGGGAGGTGCCCTCCCCAAGATACAGCCGGTGCCGCCTCGCTCGGCGGCGGAAATCCGCGATCTCCCACGGACACGGGACCCGTCGCTGATCCACGTCCCATTGATCCATGTTTGCGGTCGCCTGAACAAGCAATGGCCTGTAGGGAACACAGCATTGATCATGATTCGACCCACGGCTATCGTTCTTTCGAGCGCACATCTGTCCTGGTTGATCAGTAAGTCCCTGTTGAAGGGGGGGCCTGGAGGCGGGTGAGGAAGCTGGACTCCACTTACCTTCGACGCTAGCCCTATCTTCTCCTCCCCTCCCCTCCCCCACTGGGACCGATGGTTCTCTCCATCTTAGCCCTCGCCAACTCCTCCTCCTCTTCCTCCTCATCCCCCTCCGCCTCCTCCTCCTCCACCTCCTCCTCCACCTCCTCCTCCTCCTCATCACCAACATCATCATACTCATACTCATCATCATCATCATCATCATCATCATCATCATCATCATCATCATCATCATCATCATCATCATCATCATCATCATCATCATCATCATCATCCTCATCCTCATCCTCATCATCAGCAGCATCATCATCAGCATCATCATCGTAATCATCGTGATCATCGTCATCATCATCAGCATCATCATCGTCATCATCACCATCATCATCATCATGACCAGCATCATGATCATCACCATCACCATCACCATCACCATCACCATCACCATCACCATCATCATCATCATCATCATCATCATCATCATCATCATCATCATCATCATCATCATCATCATCATAAGTATCAGCATCACCATCACCATCAGTAGTATCCATCTTCTCCATCTTCTCCTCCTCCTCCTCGGCCTCATCCGCTCTCCCTCCCTCAATCCCCTCTTTATCTTTCTCCTCCTCCTCTTCGATCCCGTTTCCTACGTAGTTGCTCCTTCCTGTCGAACCCTCAGACGCGTCGGTGGGGCGGGCTGGACGTTCCGCGAGATACGTCCCCACCATTTGAAAGTTGCAACAACTTCACGGACGGAGGGCGGGCCGCTGTTAATATGTGGCTCTCGCATTCGCGCCGCGCACATTCGTTTTCAAAGTCTGCAACTCTTTCACGCGTGGAGGGCGGGTGGTTTTCAAAATCTGGTTCTTCTCTTAGCGCCGCGAAGATCCATCGCAACATGTTGCAGCATGCTCACAGCTTGAAGGCGGCTCTTGTTTTTCATAATACGGCTCTCGCATCAGCACCGCGCACATCCAGTTTGCAGCAGCTCCAAGGATTCGCGTGGTCGACGTCCCAGGAATGGTGTCATGGGACGACTTCGGACTGCCAGGACGCAACAGTCACGTTGATTCAAAGTAATGGTACACTGGCACGATTTAGGATTGTCAGCATGAACAAACAATCACGTTGGCTCGCGGCGCTCAAGTCCCAGAGACCGTGTTTTGGCACGAGCGGGGATTCTCAAACGGATGTCTTTCAATGGGGCACTTCCCGCAATGAAATAAAATTCTGTCGGGGCTTACGAAGTGGGAACTTGGAGAGACGGTTGATTGCGAAATCGTTGATGCGTCTGGGGTCTACACTGGTCCACCTCCTCCTCATCCTCCTCCTCCCTCCGCCACTCCTCTTCCCCCCGTCACTCCTCCGCGCGCGCTCCCGCGGGGCGCCCTCCTTCCCCCCGCAGCGCGCGCGCACGCGCTCCCCGCGCGGGTTTTCGCGCGCACGGGGCAGGCGCGGGCGTTGGCGCTTTGAGGCGCGAGCCTCGAAAATCGTCCAGGCGCTTGCAGGCTCCACGGACCTCCGACGTCGCGACTTCTGGCATGACGTGGACCCTCAGAGTCAGGCGCGTAGCACTGTAGCACCATGGGGGGACGCACATGAAGGGGGGGGGGGGGCGCGAGCTTCCCAGACGAGGCAATTGGAGGCGAGAGCCGTTCGGACATGTGGTACGCTGCGCGCCTTGAGCGCTCCATCTCACACAGCGACCCTTCCGTGCCTGCGGCGCAGCTCCAGGCCCACTCCCTGGGACGGGCCTCTCATCCCCAGTCGTTCCTTGACGGTCTCAGTTGTGTGTGTAGGGAGACGGCCGAGGGGCCGTTCCTATACGGGATCCGCAGGTCGAGGCGAGGAGCAGGACTCCTTTTTCTAAGGCACTGCGGAGTGAGCAGTGCACCGCTGGTATCTTGCCAATACCTGAGTCAATACAGTTGCGGTAAGAAGGGATGTAATATTAGGTCGGGCCTGTCCCCCTACAGGGGGATTGTGGACGAAATATAAAAAAATACGCAAACATAAATTCAAATGATGCCCAAAAATATTCAAACAACATATATCCAGACTATTCTTATTACTACTTTTGATCATTCCCCCTGTAGAGGGACGGGCCCGACTTAAATCTAATAGGGAAGTGAGCGGACTTCACACACACACACCAGTGGCAAGGCCTCGCCCAGGCTGCGCGCAGCCAGCCCCCCCACGGGCCCAGCGAGCAGTCCAGGCTGCTCCGTGGGCCCGTGGAGAGACCAGCTGGGATTATACTTCCCCGGGTGGCCTCTCCGTGCGCACCCCGAAGCCTCACAGCCAAGTTGCATAATTGAAGGGGCCCTGGGCCACACAAATAAATACACACAAATAAAAGGATTCCCCATATGTTCACATAATTTCTAGGTTTTCGTCTTCCCCCCCACTTCCCATATTTTCCCATATTTTCCTGGAAGTCGACGGTTAATTGTGTCTGTGTTTTTCCCCTCCTGAATAATAAGGATGCGCGGTAAGGATGCAAGGGGCCTTGAAGACCACGCTGACGTTTTTCGAGCGGGGCTGGCCAGCGGAAGCTACCAGGGATGGGCTGAAGGGACAAGGATGCCAGGGTTGCCCTGGAAAGTTGCTCCTCCTGCCTACGCGGGTTGACTGTGCCACGTCATCCCGAGTCGTTTCTTGACAGTCTCGGGGCCCAGTGAGGGCCCCCCGAGGCCGAAAAATGCGACCAAAAAAAATCCGCCATGACAGTTCCACGACGAGAGGAGGTGGCAATCGGGGCATGACTCGGGCTTTGCTTTAGGTCGGGCCTGTCCCCCTACATTTTTTTACTATTTCTGAAAATTCCTCCTGTAGAGGGACAGGCTAAGAACTGGACACGAATCCCATGATTTCCAATATTTTCGCACATTGTCTGGGTTTCTGTCTTCCCCCCCACGTCCTATATTCCCGCGCGTTTTCCCAGGCATCGACGATTGATTGTGTCTGGGACTGGCGAGGAGGATATGGAGAGAAGTCGGGCGTGTCCCTCTACAGGAGGAATCTTCGAAAATAGTAGAAAACAGCCTAGGGACGATTTTTCTAGCATTTTTGGTGCATTTTTGGAGCATTTCTGTTTCCCGCCCAAACTCCCTCTGTAGGGGGGACAGGCCCGACCAAAACATAGAGGAGGAGTCGGAGGAACGAGGAGGCTTGAGGGGCACTGATACGGGGGGATAGGCGTAGGGGGGGATGCCTCGACCTGGAATCGGCGATGCCTCGTCGATAGATCGGCGATCGGCCTGCGATGCTGAATCCGCACCCTCCTGGGCAGGTTGGGGCTATGGGGGCCCTATCGGGGCTCGATGCATCCCCCCCGACACGTCGTTCATCTCTAATCGTGCCCATTTCTGACTGTGCTCGTTTCCAATTGTTCCTGGCCCCCTGGTGGCCAGGAAGAGGCCCAGGATAGAACAGTCAGAAAGGAAAGGATCCAGGCCCCCCAACAAAAC